AAGACGGTGATGCTAGTGTGACAATATTTATTATCACTATTCTCAGAGTTCAAAATCAAGTGGGGGTGTCAGGAAAATAGTTAATTGAAACCAAGTGTTGAGCTCTGGGACAGAAATCTCAGAAAGGACAGAGATGGCGCCAAAAAAATGGCAAGGAAAGCACCCTAGAGAGGGGACCCTAGAGGTGGCACCGAGGTTACTACATAAATACCGCTCTCCTCAGGATGTTGCTTCTGGCTAAGGCCTCAAAGTAACCCTATACAGGAACCCAAAAGGGTGGCCTCTGGTAGAGTCTGACATACCTGCATGGCTTTTCTCCAACACTAAGAGTGACAGGGACACATACCAGCCATGCCAAAGGAAACATATCAAAGCCAAGGTAGAGTAGAAGGTCAAGAAAAGGCAAGGGGACAGGAGAGCTTGGTTCTACAAAAAGCTGGCTGGCTTACTGGCTACACTCAGTTTTTCTTTCCACTCAACTCTCTTTGAAGGTGTTCATGTTTATGAATGTTCACACCCAACACTGAAGAGACAAAGGCAGGCAGACAAGAGGCTATTCTGTTTCCATCAACCAATGTGCTGAGTTCACATAGATTTGAGTCTGTCAGATTCCCCATGATTCTGAAAAGGAGACAGTTCAGAGAGGAACTGTGTGGGGGTTTGAGAGGAAACCTACAGTTCGTGTGATTAAGGATTCTTTGGTCTCCACAAATTAGACAAATGCTAAGTTTTCATGCTCATCTCTTCTTGCAAATCAGATGCATATTTCGTTCTCCGAGAAGAGCATTTGTAAGTAAGCGCAGTTCTAACCAGGGACTGGCATCCAGGACACCACATTTCATGGAAACATGGCAGCCAAGTTGCTGTGAAAGCTTTCAGAATGAGGGGAAAGGTCAACCAGAGGCTTAGCAATTCCTAGAGCCGAGTACTGCCTTGGGGAGAAATCCGTGGGGGTGATGATGATGATGATGAATTAGCTGCTTTGAAGATTTTCCTGTTTTGAAGTCCTATCAGTTCCAAAAGTCAAGATATTTTCTTCATCTTATTTGTTAGAAGAAAGTTCTTTATTGATATTTCTTTCACAAAGGCATCGAGAGTCCTGGGATAAGAAGCTACTGAGGTTGCCTGTTTTGGCAAATACTTTGCTATTTGCCTGTTTATTTCGAGTCCTTGAAAAGGAACTTTAAAGCCTTGCTCCAATTGCTAGGGTACACATTTAAACTACAGTAGCAATGTAAAAGACTGCTTATATTTTTTTTCAAAGATCATATTTATTTCTTGTGTAGTTAGTGGTTTTTACTGGAGATGAAATAAAATCAAAGTTTGTGTTTTCTTGTGTAAGTTCTTCTTTCCCACATGCAACCCACTAAAATCAGCTCCTCTAATCCCGCTACATCATAAACCTTCAGGAAGAGACTGACTAACAGAGGGGTTTGAAAGCTTGCCCTCATTTTAAAAGAGATGAGTTTAAAGATTTACAGACAGAGCTTCCTGCCTCTCTGATAAGAAAGAAATGCTCTGTGAAATATTTTTTTAAAACCAGCAACTAATTCTTCAATGTTTTTTTCTTCAGCCTTAACTTATCTGGTTATTTATGAGTCTGAAGTGATTCCAAAGCATCACTGTAAATAAGTCATAAAGTCTTGTGACATTTTAAAAATTAAATGCTTACATGTAAATAAATGAAATATGCCTTTGCCTCCAGCAGGCAACCTCCCACTCCTTGGTGGGACAGAACTTAGTCGCTGCTGATCAGGACTCTTGTTGAGTCAGTCTTCCACTTCACTATTATTTTTTGAAGTCTGCTTATGTTCTAGGTGCTTAGGACACAGAATGAGCAAAACCAACATGGCCCTTGCCTCGTGTGGTTATGGTGAGAGGAGCACACTCTAGGAAAAAAAGAAACAGAAATAAGTGTATATAGATACACAGGCACAAGGGGTCAGGAGGAAAGAGGGGTGGTGCAGAGAGGGCTCCATGGAGGGAGCAGCTGGACCACAGAACAGGCGTGACCAGGTCGGCCTTCTTGAGCGGATACCCAGGTTGCTGAGAGAGGTGCAAGAGTCTCCACCTCACAATTACAGTGGAAAAAATGAAATCATTGATCCTCCAGTGAAGTTCATCCTAAGATTAAGTGCTCCATAACTAAAGAAAAAATTGTTTGCTTTTGTTTATAAAAAGGCTCCATCCGTCCCTCTTTTGTGCTTGCTCTCGTTCTCTCTCTCTCTCCTGCTCTTCTAAGTTTTTATCTTAAAAAATGTAGAGGTGATCCAATGCCACTGCTCCTCAGACACTTCAATGAAATTGAATGGGAAGCAAAACTCCCAAACTCATTCCTGAAAGAAAGCATTACCCTGATTCCAAAATCAGAGAAGGATCCAGCCAAAAAAGAGAACTACAGGCCTATCTCCCCAATGAACATAGATGCAAAACTCCTCAATAAGATACTGGCAAACAAAATACAGCAAATCGTCAAGCAGATTATACACCATGACCAAGTAGGATTCATCCTAGAGATGCAGGGATGGTTCAACATAGGCAAATCAGTAAATGTAATACACCATACTAACAGAACCAAGGTAAAAACCATGGGATCATCTCAATGGACACACAAAAAGCATTTGACAAAGTCCAGCACCCATTCATGATAAAAAAAAAATCCTACAGACAATTGGAATAGATGGTCTTTAATCTCATTCTGATAAAAGTCATCAGTGAATGACAAAACAACAGCCAACATCATATTAAATGGCCAAAAACTGAAAGCTTTCACTCTAGAATCAAGAACAAGACAATGATGTTCACTATCACCATCTTTATTCAATATGGCTCTGAAAACATTAGCCAGAGCAATTAGACAAGAGAAATAAAAGGAGTAAAGATAGGAAAGGAAGAATTTAAATGATCATTATTTGCCAATAGCATGATACTCTACATAGAAGACCTCAAAAAGTCCACTAAAAGCCTTCTAGATTTAATAACCAAATTCAGTAGCATAGCTGGACATAAAGTCAACACTCAAAAATTACCAGCATTCCTGTACACAAATAACAACTGACAGAGAGAAATTAGGGAAACAACACCTTTGACAATAGCATCAGAATAAGAACCAGTACAGTGAAAATGGCCATACTTCCAAAATTATTATACAAATTTAATGCAATCCCAATCAAAATAACAATACCATATCTTACAGAATTAGAGAAAACAATCCTAAAATCCATTTGGAACCAAAAGAGACCTGGAATAGCAAAAGCAATTCTGAGCAACAAAAGCAAGGCAGGGAGCATCACAATCCTTGAATTGAAATTATACTATAGAGCTACTGTGATAAAAACAGCATGGTACTGGCAAAAAAAAACAAAAACAAAACAAAAAGCAACACCACCAACAATAAACAGACCCAAGCATCAGTGGAACAGATTAGAAGATACAGAAACATTCAGCCACCTTATCAATGACAAAGGAGCCAAATGCCTTCACCAGAAGAAAGACAGCCTCTTTCATAAATGGTTCTAGAAAAACTGGCTTTCCTATGCCAAAGATTAAACCTAGACCCATATCTCTCACCATGGACTAAAACTAAAATCAAAATGAATCAAAGATATAAATATTGAAACGGAAATACTTAATCTGCTGGAACATAGAGTAGGTAGAACTCCTGAAGACATAGGTGTAGGCAAAGACTGTATTGAACAAAATCCCAGTCACACAGGAAGCATTGCAAAAAAATCAACATCTGGGATCTCGTCATATTAAAAAGCTTTTGCACAGCAAAAGAAACTGCCAACAGAGTGAAAAAACCAACTGCAAAATAGGAAAAACATATTGCCAGCTGTTCTTCAGACAAAGGACTAAAACCTAGAATATATAAAAAGAAAACTTTTTAAAAAGTCAGATCCCCCAAATTTAAACACTCAATCCAAAAATGGGCATCTAAAATAAATAGGAGCGTCTCAGATGAAGAAGTACAAACAGCAAGTAAATATCTGAAAAAAAATGTTCAACATTACGGGTCGTTTGAGAGATGCAAATTAAAACAACACAGTGACTCCATCTAACTCCAGAAACAATGGCTGCTATCAATAAATCAACCAATAACAAATGATGGTGGGACAGTGAGGAAAAAGGAGCCCTTTTCCACTATTGGTGGGAGTGTAGACTGGTGCAACCACTGTAGAATTCAGGGTGGAGTCTCCATTTGGCCCTGTTATCTTCCCAAAAGAATTTAAAGCATCATACCAGAGACAAATACACATCCATGTTTATAGCAGCACAATTTGAAATAGCTAAATCTTTACACAGCCCAAATGCCTATAAATGGATGAAAGAATAAAGAAGATAGGGGTTTTTATGCAATGGAATTTTACTCTGCCATGAAGAAGGAGAAACGAGATATTTCCAGGTAAATGGATGCACCTTGAGACCATACTCTTATGTGAAATTAATCAGACACATATGTTTAAATATCACATTGTTTCTCTGGCATGAGAAACTGAAAGTGTAAATAAAGACCAGAAGGTCTAATAGGTACTGGCAAATAGGAAGAAAATGTTCAAATGGGAAAGGGTAAAGAGGTGGGGGGAGAAAGAAGGAAAAAATGGAAACAAAGCTTTGTAAATTAGAAGAGGAAGAGGGACTGAAGGGAGGAGAGTGGGTTGGAAAAAAAGAAGAATCAAGATATTTTGTGTACAAGTACAAATTCCATATGATAAATGTGAATGTGATCATTATGTACATCTGAATCGAACCAATAAAATTTACTTTTTTAAAAAGTAGACCTAGGAAAAATATGATTTCTTCAATGAATAGGGTTGCCAGAATTTAAGAAACTTCATACAAAAACCATAGAATGCCCCCATTAAGTTAAAATAAATTTGACTTTCACACAGATAACAATTAAGTGCATTATGTCCCATGACAGTTTACAGCATACATGTGTGGAAATGTATCCATTGACTGCGTGAGAGTCACATTTAAATGATCATCATGTACTTTACCTGCAGCCAAACAATTGAACGAGTCAGTGGATGAGCTGAAGAGCGGAGAGGCTGTTGAAGACAGATGAACTCAGGACTGGAAAATACACAGGAGATGCTCACAGAGCAAGCACAGGTGCACAAGGGTGGAAAAGAGATGACATTTCGGGCTGGGTGCAGAAGACCTATCGTGAGCAAGGAAATGAAAGAATAATTGATTAAAATAAATAGTAATTATGAAATATATATTTTCCATGAGTTTCCACTATTTATTTAAGTTTCATTTTATTAGTACATATTTGCAGTACATGCAGTATAGTCATCTTGGGGAGTAGATGAATGTGTATAACACAGCTCATTTCTTTTTTAATTCCCTTCCCCTTATCACCCACCTCCTTCCCTCTTCCTAATTCCCCTTTCCCCATTTCATTCTTATTGTTATTAATGTCCTTAGCTCATGCTTATGACATACAATGTCTACACTCATTGTGGGTATTTGGTAACCATATACGGCACGCTTAATATAAAATATAGAATTAAGTATATCAGTCTTAATGCTAAATAAAAGTTGGAAATAAAGCAATGAGCAAACAGATGCCAGGAAAACAACAACAGAAAAAAAGGAGGAAAGCAAGCAATAATATCTAACAAGATGAAGTTTAAGGCTGAACATACTAAGCAGGGACTCACCACTAACTCAAGGACCCAGGTAGATTCTCGTTTTTGTGACATGACTACAGAAATAAAGACAGGCATCGTGCAGCTCAGGAAACAAGGCAATCAGAGCTCAGAGACAAAACGTAAGAATGTGAAGAGCTGAAAATGAGAAGTAATATCAGCAAAATGGAGCAACACTTGCTTTCTACCACCATCTGCCCCAAACCATTGGTTCTTGACAAATACTAATGGAAAGGGAAGTTTTTGTGGAAGCCCAGGAAACCAGCTTAGATGTTCCAGCATACTGCTGGAGCAGAAATTTGAGAATAGGTGCATTTAAGAGGTTAGAACAGTTTCATTTTACCCATAGGTGACTCAGTACCAGCAGACTATCTCAGCCCATGATTTCTGCCATGGGGAAAGTGATACCCAGCTCCCCCAGCCATTTGGGTCACTGCCTAAGAGGTCCACCTCTTTCTCACCCTACTCAAATTACTGAGGTGATCAGCATGACTAAGTGGTTGGCAGATACTGGAGCGGGGGAAAAGAAGCAGCAGAACCTACTAACTGGTCTTCAGACTCCATTAGAAAGCACACCCAGGAGCCCCATGTGTTGCCTCCCAACTGGCCCATGTGTACGCCAGACATTCCCCAACCTCAATGCCATCTCCTCTAGGATGGACCCCAAGCACACCCTTGTAAACAGCTAACACAACCATCTTACATAAAGAGCTGGCTCAACTGTGTGAGATTGAGGGAAGGTACAAAACTTGAGTATTTTAGAGCATCATCCTAGAGAAAATAAATATCATCATCCTAGAAAACAAAACCATCCTAGAGATTGTCAGCACCTGGAATGGCTTTTCAGGTTCAAGAGAAGACACATAATGTTAAGAAATCCATCCTCAGAGAGGACATAAGAGGTTAAGCCACTGTAATCATTTAAAGGTCTCAGAGCCTCAGAATTCCTACCTGAGGTGCAGTATTTGTTGAAGGTATTTCTCCCCTAGAGACCATTACTAAAGCCTAGAGAAAGTGATGGTTTCTTCAAATATGAAAATAACAACACAAAACTTCAAATGTGAATAGAACTACAACAATGAAAACTCAAAGAATCCTGACACTATCAAAGGAACATAACAATAAGGAGATCTCTGTATTGCCTGAAAATAATTCAAAATAATAATAGTTTGAAAGAAGTTCAGCATGGTACAAGAAAACACACACAGCTCAATAGTACCAGACATGAACGTGACAAGAAATTCAACAAAAAGACAGAAATCCTATAAAAGAACCAAATAGAAATTCTGGAACTAATGGAATACAATACATAAAAATTTTTAAATCCAATAGAGAATGTCAGTGGTAGACTTGATTAGGCAGCAGAATGAATTTGTAACCTTAATGACAAATCATTTGAAAATATATAGTCAGAGATAAAAGAGAATAAAAAGTAATAAAGAAAGCCTATGGAACCGTGGGGCATCATCAAAGGAGCTAGCATTTACATTATGGGAATCTCAGATAAAATAGAAAGAAAGAGGCAGAATTATTTTTTCTAAATAATAGATGAAAACTTCCCAAATCTGATGAGAGATGTGGAATGCAGATAGATACATGGAACTCAAAACTCTGCGTGTCTAGTCAAGTCAACCAAAAGTTTTTATCATGATACGATGATATCCAAAAAATATTTTGAATGTGTAAATTTTAAAAACTTTATTGCAGTAAAAGAATGCCCATTAATTCCCCTCAGAATACTCCCACTTACTTTGAACACGCCTAGAGTTCTTGCTACTTCTGAAGCAGTTCCTGAAGTCCTTCATCCTTGTCTTTAGTTGTGTTTCCATGGCTGCCTTGATTTCCTGAACTGATTCCAATTATTTTCCTTTCATGGTCATTTTGACATAGAGGGAAAACCAAAGCCACACAGTGCCAGATCCGGTGAATAGGTGGGTGAGGATGCACCCTAATATTTTCATGACCTTGCCTTTCCATCGGATGGCACTAGGCAGCAGCATCCATTGCATTTTTTATCATGCATCAGAAAGACACTCACGAAAGAGGATGCCCAGAACTCCTCCAGAAAGCAGCAAGAGCAATGGGAGCAGTGTGTCTGAAGTGAGGGGGAGGATTATAGTTACAACAATTTGTCTTTTCCTGTGACAAATCTTTTAAATTAAGACATTCACCATATATTTACCTCCTATAGTAAGCTGAAAATATCATAATTTTAAAAGCATTCGATATATCAGACTTCTAGACAGCAGAGTTTAGCACATTGTAGAGAATCAACTGTTTATCCTTCATGTTCGCATTAGACTGGGAACTGCAGGCCTCAACCACTGCCCAGGGTCACAAGAGTATTGGTAGCCTCAGAAAATATCAAAGTTTATATATCAAAGTACATTTTCCACTGAGTGAATACTGCTTTCACATCCTCATAGTCAGGGACATCTGCAATCAAACTGTCAAATATCAAAGATAAAGAGAAAAATTTGAAAGCCTCAAATGAAAAGTTCTTTGTGTGAGGAAAAATTCATCAGGCTATCAGTAATTTTCTCTGCAGAAATTTTAAGGACGAGGCAGAAATAGGATGATATATTCAAAGTGTTGAAAGAAAATCAGCCCACAAAGAACACTACACTCTGCAGAGCTTTCTTTCAAAACTGAAGGAGAGATAATGATTCCAAGATGAACAAAGCTGAGGCTGTCCTTAGAAGACATGCTAAAGGCAGTTTTTTAAATTAAAAGACCCTAATTAGTGCATGACTACATGTGATAATATAAAACTCACTGGTAAAACTGATCATACCATTAAATGTAGAATACACTATAGGTCATTTCCCCCTTTTATGAAACTGGTTGTCCCAAAGTCAAATTCAACACTCACTGAGCCCTTACTACAGTATCCGACTCTTCCTTAGGAAACATGAAGATGAAAAAGCCATGTTCCATTAATCCTTTCAGGAGAAATCATTCCCTCCTACTTCTAAACAAAATTATCTTGGTTCACATTTGCAACCTCGATTTTCTGGCCAACCCTTATCTCTTTCTTAGCTGCAAAGATTCCCCAAACCAACTTCTCCATAGTTGTGTAACTAAATTTCTTCTCTTCTAGATGAGTTCCCAGTCAGCACAGGAGCAAGGGAAGAGACAGAAATATAATGCACAGCACAGATGTGATTTTTAAATTTTTCATATCCACAATAAAGAGGCAAAAAAGAAATCTGTAAAATTAAACTGAACACTGTTTTATTCAATCCTGCCTATCCAGATAGTATGTTTTAGTATATACTCAATATGAAATTATTTTTCATACTAAGTCTTCAGAGTCTGGTGTGTATTTCACACATATAAAGCATCTCAGTTTGGACTGGCTGCATTTCAAACACTCTGTAGCCACAGGTGGGTGCCATCTTGAGCAGCTCAGTTCTAAAAACCGGTGTCTTCCTGCTGAATTGTTTCATCCACTGTTCCCAATGGAATCTTCTGGAACGGTCATTGTTTCCAGTGTATGTGCCCTTCATGTTAGCTCTGCCGCATTCTGTGTTAAAACTTTCCAATTTATGAATAATAACTACCAGAGAGCTTTTCATGCGAGACATATTTTTCTTATTTTCTGTCTTTTATTTTTCTCTTCATTTGTATCTTGGGTCTCTCACATAGGAGAATGAACCTTGTGTGTCTCGTTTACTTCACTTAACATTATAGTCGCAAGGTGTGTGCCTTTTCCTACAGATTACTCCAATATATTTCTTTTTGTGGCAGATTAGTAATCCATGGTATATAAATATATAAATACCATGTTTAATAATATAATTACCATGTTTTCTTTATCCAATCACCTGTCAGTGGACATCTGTCAGTGGCTCTCCCAAGATTGGACTAATTGTGCTGTTACAAATATAGGTATGCATGAGTCACTGTGATATGAGGTTTGTTACTCTTTCAAGAAGATACCTAGAAGGGAAATAGCTGGGCCAAACAGAATTTCTAGTTTTAGTTTTTGGAGGAATCTCCATACTGATTTCCACAGGGGTTGTATCCATTCACATTCCTACTAACAATGGAGAAGGATTCCTTTTACCCCTGCAGCCTCTCCAGCATTTGTTATTGTTTGATGGCTTGAAAATAGCCATTCTTTTTGCAGTGAAATTGAATTTCAGTGTTGCTTTATTTTGCTATGCCATGTTTTAAATAAAATTTTTGTTCTGTAGTAGATAAATAATTCAAAAGCAACTTAAAGGCAAATAGTACTATTCTGCTTCCGTCCATGTTAAAACTGAGCTATACAGAAGTAAATAATCTGTATAAGGTCACACAACTAGGATATGTCTAGCTTAAAACTTGTGTTTGTTCCTCAATAGCTGGGATCTACAAATATTTTCTGTGAGGAGCCAGATAGTAAATAGTTCAGTCTTTGTGTGCCACACATTCACAGTTGTAACTACTCAGCTCTGCCACAGGCAACACGTAAAAGGGGTGAGCGTCTGTGTCCCAATAAAACTTTGAAGGCAGCAAGCTG